CTAGGAAATCATTAACTCTGTAATATTAGCATCGAGTTGTCATTTGATTCCTAATTAAACATTACTGAATAAGTGCAGTGTACAAGCAGCTCTCAACACTTGCTAGGAGAAGCACGGAACCTTTATGGTAAACGAGATGTAAATTAGACAATTGTTGGCTTATTCATTTCAGGAATTAGTTATTTCTAGAAATGCGGAAAGAAGAGCAAAAAGAACCGAACTGAAAGATCTCACTTTTTGACGGAGGTGTAAAAGGTTTGGTTTTTATTAATAAAATATATTTTCATTTCACACAAAAAAAGCAAAGTTATTGCACTATTTATTGTCACTTTTAGTGAATCTGAATAATTTCAAGAATGTTCCCTCTCACTTTGACAGTGCCTGAGATAATACAGTTGAGTTTAAACGTCTGAAATCACATTGAAAACCTGGGATTCAAAATCTGAGCAAGTTTTAGGATTTTGAAAAGTCTAAAGCAAAGAAATGTGATGTGAAATAAAGAAGAAATACACCACCATTCAAAAGTTTGGGCAGTATATGAATAATTTTATTCAGCAAGGACTCATTAAATTGATCAAAAGTCACATTTTATAATGTCACAAAATATTTCTATTTCAAATAAATGCTGTTCTTTTGAACATTTGCTAATCATAGAATCTTGAAAAAATGTATTACAGTTTCCACAAAAATATTAAGCATCACTACCGTTTTAAACATTGATAATAATAATGAGTGATTCTTTAGCAGCAAATCAGCATATCAGAATGATTTCTGAAGGATCATGTGACACTGAAGACTGGAGTAATGATGCTGAAAACTCAGCTTTGCATCACAGAAATAAATTATATTTTAAAATATATTTAAATATAAAACAATTATTTTAAGTAATATTATTTCGGAATATTATGCAAGTGACTTTTAAAAACTCTTGCCAACCCTAAACTTTTGAATGGTAGCATGCATTGTAGTATTTGAAGAAGTCAAAAGTAAATTAGTGAAATTAATCATGTCGCTATTTGTACATGCTCTTTGAAGCATGAGATGCTCTTTGGAACATTCTTAAATATAATTTCTAATGAAAACATAATTGTATTAAATTGCAAATAAAAATGCAAAACAGATGCATTTTCATTAGTGTTCTCAGATTTTGGACCCCATATGATGTAGCACTTCCATTGAGCTTTCATTAGGGATCTCTTGGCGGTCTGGCAGATCCCCCCTAAACAGGTCCTGCTTTCTTTCAGTTCGCTGATCGTGGATGAAATTCGAGGTCTTCAGATCTGCTGCTGGCGAGACTGATAAAAGATTTAATATGCCAACAAGATTTCACCACAACTTTTCTATCATCCTTGGCTTGCCGGCAAGAATGATGGGATGAAATGAAAGTTTCAGGTATGCCGCAAAACTGATTCTAGGTGAAATGGATTTAAATACATTACAATATTTTAGAGTGCTACACTCTTACCGGTAGCTGAAAGCATTATTGAATTAGCCTAATTAGATAATACACACAAATGCAAAGTTTATAAGGCTCACGGATTGGTAAATTTGGCAGTCTGTCTTAACCGATCCAGTTTGACCTGTGGACAGCAGAGATGTGAACATGCATGTGTGTTGACGGAATAAAAATCCTTCTGCAGTATCTCTAGTGTGTTCACAGACACCATTGAAACGGCCCAATACTCATTATCCTGCACTCATCATGCAGTGAATCTGACTCTGTCTTCACCTCTTAAACCCTGATTATTATGTCTGAAATGAGAGGATTTTATGGAGACTTCCTTCTCTGAAGAACCGTAGAACTAGCTCACATCCATTTGAATGAGAAGTCTAATCCTCTGCTTATCCACAAGGACATCTCAGGCTTACAAGTTTTTAATTTATTATGATCCGTCAGAGCAAAAGTTTGTCTAAAGCACAGCAAGAACACAAGCCTTCCGTCTTCACAGTGCATGTCTGCTTCGATCTCTGTTTATGTGACGAATCATTGAAGATTATTACTCATGCATCACTATACTATTCTTGATACTCTCAACGCTTTTTTTGCTAAAGTGACAATGCGGCTAACAGGGAACATTCTCAGGCTCTTTCAGACTTATAAATAAATGTTTCAGTAATGTTAATAGAACATTAATTTGCTCAGAGTTCTCTGGTCTTTTATAATGTTCTCAAAACATTATTTTCACAAAAAAAAAGTTTTTTTCCCCCCTGAAATGTTTTAGCTGAATGAACTAGTCTAAAGTTTTCACTAGTTTCAGAATGTTCCGAGAATGTTTAAAAGTAACATTCCCATAATGTTTGCAAAATGATCAAATGGAATGTTCCCTTAACAGAAAAAAAAAAAAAAAACAGTTTTTACACCTAAATGGAAATGTTAACCAAACATTCTTGGGACATTTTTGTTTGCTGAGAAACCTTATGCTTTAGATCATTTAAAATCTAGTTATTTATATGTAAATATCTCCAGCATTAGGCTGTCAATCATCTGTCGAGATTATATTATAGGCAACATATGCTCTGATATCTGCTTGTCATACGTTAGAGTAATATTCCTTCAGAAGTCAGTCATTAAACTCCCTTCATCATATGAAATATTCATTAGTATATGGATTTTTTTGTTATAATGAGATGAATCATTATGTTGATCATTATATTTACATTTTTTCAAAGTAATTTACACATGAGAAATGCCTCATATTTTTAAATGAAGGCTATCGATTCTTTAATTTTTCCTTTCTGTTGTCTGAAATGAAGACATCAGTCCTCATGTCTCAGAGTCAGAACTGATGTTTATATGTGCTCTCCACATCAGTTTACTTCAAAAACAATAGGTAGCATGACCGGCAAAACAATATCATGATACATGATCATGTGTCTGTGATATTATGATCTGAAATGCCAGGCACAACCTAGATTAAGACAAGCTTGTATTGCAATAAGATGAGTTTGTGGTGCCATCTTGTGGATAACTGGTTATTTAAAAATGCATTTAAAGGGATAGTTCACCCAAAAATGAAAATTTGATGTTTGTCTGCTTAGCCCCAGGGCATCCACGATGTAGGTGACTTTTTCTTCAGTAGAACACAAATTATGATTTTTAAGTCCAGCCGTTGCAGTCTATCAGTCGTATAATGCATGGCAATGGTAACAAAATCTATGAGAGTAAAAAAAACATGCACAGACAAATCCAAATTAAACCCTGCGGCTCGTGACGACACATTAATGTCCTAAGACACGAAACGATCGGTTTGTGCGAGAAACCAAACAGTATTTATATCATTTTTTACCTCTAATACACCACTATGTCCAACTGCTTTGAGCACGCGTACGGCTTCCTGTGCGTGAGGTGTGTACGCGCTCTGGCGTAGTTTACGTTAATGGGTGTGTTACGTGGAAAGTCACCACTCCCAAATGAGTTCGCGCGAGAGAATGTAATCTTTTAGTTTTAAGTCGGTTTGAACAATCCGGATAAGCGCAAGTAAGTACCATTTTGATTAGCCGTCGTACCTACAATAACTGTGCACTGTGTAAACCATGAGTGACGTATACATGCGAGAGATCACTTCCGGCGCTTGCATAAACTACGCCAGAGCGCGTACACACCTCACGCACCGGATGCTTGTGCGCACTTAAAGACAGTTGGACATAGTGGTGTATTAGAGGTAAAAAATAATATAAATACTATTCGGTTTCTGGCACAAACCGATCGTTTCGTATCTTAGGACATCAAGGTGTCGTCACGAGCCGCAGGGTTTAATTTGGATTTGTCTGTGCATGTTTTTTTTTACTCTCATAGATTTTGTTACCATTGCCATGCATTATACGACTGATAGACTGCAACGGCTAGACTTAAAAATCATAATTTGTGTTCTACTGATGAAACAAAGTCCCCTACATCTTGGAAGCCCTGGGGGTAAGCAGATAAACATCCATTTTTCATTTTTGGGTGAACTATCCCTTTAAATGTTATGCAAAACAGCATCAAAAGTATGTATATGTGACAGATTTTGACCTATTTTAAATGATTTTTAATTAAACAAAAACTTGCATTGTTTCTGTTTCACACAGATATGTTCTCTCGATGTTCATTAAACATAAATTTGATCATCATAAAATTGGAGACCAGAAAAAGTTTACCATACTTAATTTTCTCTAATCAATGATCAATGCTCTTGCTAGTGTTTTATTTACAATAATTAATACAGATCCCACACATGACTATGATCACCAACATTTTTAATTGTTTATTTATTTAAAAAAAATAATAATATGTGCTTTTAAATGTACAAGCTAGTAAATACCACAAATATGATTATCTAGGTTTTTTCCATTTATTTTATTTATTTAATTTACTCATTTTATTGATTTATTTATTGTTTAAAAAATTGTGAATTTTGTTTGCTTGTTCGTTTAGATCAAAAACCACACTTGCACAATCATGCTTTTCTAGCAAAACATTTTACAAAAATAAGTTTTAAATGAATTTTAAATGTTAAAACATTAAAAGAAAATCTATTGCCATTTTGTGGTTGTGAAATATTGGTGTAATTCTTTGTTGATTCAACTTAGTTTGAACTTCAGCATGCATTGACTGATTTTGATGAAACTCAAGCCATATGTTCAAGTTGGAGGAGGCTGATGCATCGATATTCGGATATTTTTAAGGGTCACTGTTCTGTGCATGTGCAGTATAGTGCAACATAGTTTTCTTGTAATATCCATTTAACAAGTAGGCCTATGGATAAAGTACTGCATCACTGTGAGTCTAGATTCATGTTGAACTGTCAGACAATAGCGTGGTCAATTACAAAACAGCCAGTGGGGTGTTCAGAGTGAGCATGCTGTGTGTGTGTCATTTAATGAACTTCATGTCACGTTTTCTGCCACCGTACTGTGCTCAGTGCTGTGCTTATGACCCGGAGCATTTGACTCTTCAGCCAATCACAAGACAGATAGACGGTTGTGATCGGCTGTCTCTATGTGTCTGATACTGTACAGAGAAACGAGCCTGAGATCATCTGATACAGACAGATGCTCATCGCACCGGTCATCTCAACGCCACTTCTGTAACAAGGTAAGAACTGATGGTTTTTCATTGTAAAGTTCTTGTAAAAGTAGAATTCTTCAGAAACTTGGTTAATATTAAACAATTGCTGTTAATGTAGACCTAAGGTCTTGTCAAAAAAATAAATAGTGATTGATTTTTGATACATAAAAATTTAATAAAATGTATATATATTATTTAAAGTGTCTCTGCAAATTCTATCACTAAAGTGTATATATAAAATATATATAAAGCCTTTAGTGCCACCCAGGGGAATTGCAAAAAAAAAAACTTTTTTTAAAATAGTTTTCAAACAGGTTTCCAGAACATTTTTGCCATTGCTCAACAAGCAAATAGTTTATTTATAGTTTTATACAGTACGTGTTATTGTCTCTGTTATGTTAAACTAGGAGAGGAGAAAGTATTTAAACACTGTAAAAAATGACACGCATCTATAAACAATCAGAACTGTAAATGGTAAGTGTTTCCCGTGTTTGAGTCACAGAGGCGTTCCCCCGCGGATCAATGACGCTGTCAGTCCTGATTATCTGTCTGGTGTGAAGGACACTAATCATCACACACTGTTAATTACTGTATTACATGTCCTCTTACATTACATTGTTTAAATAGTTTGTGTTGGGGTTATTATCGGTAACGGAAATGAAACTAAAACTATTAAATTACTTAAATAAAAGCTGAAATAAAACAAAACACTTTTAAAACTTGTAAACATGTAAACTAAAATAACTTTAGGTTAAAGCTCTAAAATGACTAACAATAAATAATTATAAACTGAATTAAAACAGAAATAAAAATAAATGAAACCTAAATGGTAGTATTTAAACTCATAAAACTCATAAAAATGCCAAAAGAACATGATAAAAATTACTACATATTAAACTAATTAAATTAAAATGAAAACTGGTTTGTGAAATTCAAGCAGAAAAAGTAATTCTGTGTAAATTGTTTATAATTAAAAATTTTTTTTTAATTAATTTAATTAATTAATTTGGTTTATAAATCCATTTGTAATGTTAAAATAAATTGCAACATTTGATTCTATTTAATTCAAATGGATAATGGACACATCTTAGTAATAATCATTGACATAATAAAATTTTTGGGTTAATTTTTTTTTTTTTTTACTTACGTAATTCGAGAACAAATCATTCATACTGGTTTTGTGAACTGAATCAAATGATCCATTGAAAAATGGTGATTTGTTCATGAATCAAATATCGCTGCTTCTCTCATGAATGCTAATCTGTTTACCGTTTTACAAAGTAGTTACTTATTCAGTAAAAAGCTTCAGTTTAATTTGAGTTATTTATAGGCTTTTCACTAATTTGAAGGAGATTGAGGCATGAGGCCTGGATTTGGACCTGTACGAGATGTGTGTTGTGAGAATTGTTATTTTGATATTATTTATGCATTAATATAGTATTTGAATTAATTTGAATGTGCTTTTATTATTATTTATAATTATTTGTTAATTTTTTTTTCATCTAATATTCATATTTTATTTTATTTGAGCTTTATTTCAGTTAATAAACATAGTTTTAGTGCTTGCTAGTGCATTACTCCCCACTGCGCCACAGCTACCGCTCCTGAATGTATGAATCAATCAATTATGTGCCAGTGTGTGACATAAGAGAGCTGTGTGTGTGTGTGTGTGTGTGTGTGTGTGCTGACAGTGAATATCCTCCCATAATTATGCCAATGCATTGGGTTTTCCTTTCCCGCCAGCAACAGGGATATTGATCTAATGAAGCCGCAGGTCCACGTGCCACATCGCGCGGGGTTCTTTCAGGTCCTGTGACCGAGCTGGAGGCTTTAAAACCACTGCCAGCTAGAACTCCCTACAAAAATTTAACTGATGAGCACTCATTAGTTATGTGTAAATACACTAAGGTGATATAATCTGCAGAGTGCTTTAATGAAGCAGAAGGAAATATTGTATATGCAAAGCCTCTGAAACGGTAACTAATAAATATCACCATGCTTCCCCAAGTTTACAAGTTTTCTGAAATGTTATGTTTAAATATGCAAGTGAGGCATTATCTGATTACACATGCAGAAATTTGCATACATTTCGGGTTCATTTTGTTGAAATATTAAAGTTTTTACAGAAGGAATTTTGGATTGTCTTTTTATTACTCCATAAATCTGAAAATACTGCCAACAACCCAGTCACGGTGGTTTGAGCAAAACAACATATCAATTATATTATATAAATCAGACGAACAAACCCCTCTGTAAATCCCTTCAGAATATAGATAGAAATAAAACTGTGGTTGTTGTATGTGCTACTAAAGTAGTCACAAAGACTTTTATTCTGCCTTTTCCTATCAGGATGGACCATGACTGGCATGGCAGCAGGAGAAGTGGTCACCGCAGCAGACACAATGAGGATGAGGATGGTGAGAGGATGGTCATTTTTTACAATATGTGATATTTGATAAGGAAACTAGAGAGCATAAAAAGGTTAATAAAAGGTTCATAATATTTACTGTTGGAAGGTTTTTCCACATACAATTATGTTTACAATATTTACAGTTTAATTTATTTTTAATATTTTTAATAAAATAATAAATAAAATAATATTATTATTAAACACATATAAACATGTATATGTAATATATATAGTGTTACATCATCAACTAATATCCAAAATGTCATTACTGGAAAAAAAATTAACTTTAACTGAAATACAATAAAATATATCTATAAATTAATTTTTTCAACATTTCTCATTTTTGTTTACTTGATGAGCTTGATGTACTAAAATAGCTAAAAATAACACTCAAATAAAATAATAAAAACTGTATCAATATATTTAAAAAAATAGAAAGGATAAAACAAAATAGCTAAAACTACCTACAATTTAAATTAATACTAAAATACAAAAAATAGTTAAAAATATATATAATGGTATCTCAATGATATCAAAATAACACCGATTAAAATACAATTACATACTGGAGAGTGAATTATGCCATAAACACTATCAAACAGAAACTCATCGCTCTTTGATTCTCTGTTTTTAGAGTCCGTCTACATTGGCGTTCCAGTGCCACGGAGCTACAGAAGGAAGCGCAGACATCACAGACACACATCACATCATTCCCACGATCGCGACAGTCGGGAGAGACACCACAACCGCCATGAACACCACAATCGAGAGGAACCATGTGACCCAGATGAGGGCGAGCAGGATTCAAACGAGCTCTCTGACATCAACTCCATCAGTGAGCTTCTCTTAACCTGTTATTATTACCCTGACGTAACAAAACAGCTCCAGTACAGTTCAGCGTTATTTAGTATCATTGAGATTCTATTATTTTAGTTACTTTAGTTTAGTTTATTAGTGTTGTGCTGAAAATTCTATTTTGTGTGTGTGACCCTGGACCACAAAACCAGTCATAAGGGTCAATTTTTTGAAATTTGAAATCTGAAAGCTGAATAAATAAGCTTTCCATTGATGTATGGTTTATTAGGATAGGATAACATTTGGTCGAGATACAACTATTTGAAAATCTGGAATCTGAGGGTGCAAAAAAATCTAAATATTGAGAAAATCGCCTTTAAATCTGTCCAAATGAAGTCCTTAGGAAAGCATATTACTAATCAAAGTTTATGTTTTGATATATTTACAGTAGGAAATTTACAAAATATCTTTATGGAACATGATCTTTACTTAATGTCCTAATGATTTTTGGCATAAACAAAAATCAATAATTTTGACTCATACAATGTATTTTTGGCTATTGCTACAAATATACCCCAGCGACTTAAGACTGCTTTTGTGCTCCAGGGTCACAAATGTTTTTGAAAAATTGCTTGTAAATCTCATTATGCTATATAATCACGAAATCCTGAATTCAGTCTTTTTATCAACTTGTTTTCTTTCACTTAGCACAGGTTTTGCTCAGTTTTTGGAGTGATAATTTGGCAATGTTCGTTCAAAAACTGAGGTGCATAAGCTTGGATCAGAGAGGCCTACGATCAGTTAGTTCCAAAATGAAATACAAAAGCTGTGCTATCTCAAAGAAAACAAGCAAGGTTAAATCCAAAATTTGGTAATAATATAGCATAGTGAGAGATTTATATGCAATTTTTTTGTAGGCCAGTCATTTTTGACCGGGAACACCACAAGTGTAACAAGGCGGGGATAAAATCCCCCAAAAGTATAAAAGAAAATGTTTATATAATTTTGATTCATTTTTATTTCAGTTGTAGTATTTATTTTAGTAAATGGGAAATGTTGCTTTGGCAACAAACAAAAAAAGATAAATTAATGTTTTGTATATTTTATTTCAAGTAACAAATGTGTTTTTTTACGGTTTTCGTTTTAAATAACTATAATAGCCCTGATGCACTTACTGCTTTAGGTTTGTTTTAAAAGAACGTGCATCTTTACGAATTATGATTGAGTGATTGAGGTTTCAGACTTAAATTCTGAAGAGAGAGAGCGAGAAAGGGAGGGATCAGCAAAGCTGGAGGAGGAGAAAAACACTTGTTGGGCCTTTCATGCGTGTGGCACTTTGCCCTGCTTTAGTTTTCAGGAACGAGCAACATTGCTGAGAAGAAAAGTTCAAGAACAAGAGGACACACTCGTAGGGAAGGTGCATCTAAAATGAGGGACGAGCTCAGTTAACAGGCTTCAGAAATCATAAGGAAGTGCAAGTGGACATTGTATTAGTAGATCTTTTTCCATCAATGAAACATTAAACACTGGACTTTCTGAAGGATGGAGCAGGAACAGCGTAGGTTGACGGGGTCCTTTAGTATTCAGGACTCGATACAGTCGTTGACGTCCAGTCTGGGCTCTCAGAGCACTCAACTGAGCAGCTGCACAGGTACAGTCACAGACGTCATTATCGCCTTATTGCCATACTAGTGCTGCCAGTTCTTCCTGGAGAGTTTCTTTCTGGAATTGTGAGCAGAGCACATTTGGTTTGGAGTTTGACACTGCTAGATCATGATTTTGCTGAGTCTATTAATCTATTGGCAAGTTTTGTGCTGATCAACCATCACTGAAGTCACAAGGTTGGTTGATGATTGTAAGTTTAAGGACAGTCAAAAAATATTTACTCACAAAGTTCAATTTTCTGTAAAGAAAAAAAAAAAAGGTAAAGTACATCGGGATAGTATTAATTTTACTTCCTTTTTGTGGATTTTTTTTCTTTCTGTTTTTAAAAAGAAATAATTGTGTAACAGTAATTTGTTAATTGTTATATATTAAAAAATCTTCACAACAAAGACAAATTTAGAAGTGAAATATAGGTATTACATTAATGAGAATTTGAGGGGAAATGTTATCAATTGTCATAAAAAATAATGACAGTTCCTAAAAAAACGTAATTGTCCATGACATTTAATCACATTTACCCCCAAAATTCACTTTTCTGCAATGCTAAAATAAAATAAAAATAAATGATCATAATATTTGTAGATTTAAAAAACAACAAATACTGTATAACCGTAATTTGTTTACTGTTATATTTTAAGAAAATCTGTATAACAACAACTAAAAAATATTTGAGAATAATGCCAATTACAGACAAATTCAGAAGTAAAATATTTGCATTACATTAATGAGAATTTGAGGGAAAATGTTATCAATTGTCATAAAAATAATGACACAATTCCTTAAAAAAAACCTTAATTGTCCATGACATTTAATCACATTTACCCCCAAAATTCACTTTTCTGCAATGCTAAAATAAAATAAAAATAAATGATCATAATATTTGTAGATTTAAAAAACAACAAATACTGTATAACCGTAATTTGTTTACTGTTATATTTTAAGAAAATCTGTATAACAACAACTAAAAAATATTTGAGAATAATGCCAATTACAGACAAATTCAGAAGTAAAATATTTGCATTACATTAATGAGAATTTGAGGGAAAATGTTATCAATTGTCATAAAAATAATGACACAATTCCTTAAAAAAAACCTTAATTGTCCATGACATTTAATCACATTTACCCCCAAAATTCACTTTTTTGTAATGCAAAAAAAATAAAAGATCATGATATTGTACTTAATTTTTGTGTGTTTTTTTAAATACTGTATAACAGTAATTTGTTTACTGTTATATAGATATATATTTATATTTATATATTTATTTATTTTAATCTGTATTACAACAACAAAAAAATATTTGAGAATAATGCCAATTACAGACAAATTCAGAAGTAAAATAAATGTAAATATAATTGTAATTTTCCTAAAATAGGCCTATTTCTAAAGCAAGATATAATTTATTCGTCTTATTATTTACTGATATGCAATATGAGTCACACATCAGGTTTAATGAGTTCACCCATTGCCACTGGATGTGAAGACAAGTTTCTGAGATCAGTCAGGCCTGATTCTACAACTTCCAATAATGATTTTCATCAACCCTTGTTTAAATCTTCATATTATCATGATTTTGCATTAAATGCAACAATTTAAATTGTGAAACATCAAGTTTAATTGTGAATGCATTTAAGTCTTTTGGAAAGGATTTTTTTTTCTGAAGATAAGATAAAAAAAATAAGATCATCAGTGTTCATTCTGAAGTGATAACCCACCTTTCCTCTCTATTCAGTGCATTTTTGAATGTCAGCAACTAAAGAAATGACTGCGTTGTTGATTAATACTACGAAGACACGTGTACCAACAACCATCTTTTAATATCTAGTGCCTCCATCAAAGTTTAATTGACTTACCAAAGTGATTCAAGTGCGTGAGCTATAAATAATACGGTGCATTGCACTCTACTCTGCATTGGCATTCTACAACCACACGTATTTGTGATTGTTACTTCAGGATTAGAAGGATTACATGGAGAAAAACACCCACGTGCTAATAATCCCGAGGAAAAGCCAGAGATCGAGAGGAAGGTCACAACAAGATTGTCATGCATGGGCTCACAAGCACCGACTTGCACCATTAGTCTGAACATCAGATTTAATGCACATGACATTAGATTGAGAACAGGTTTTAGTAGCCCATACTGGAGCTTATGTCATTTGACTTTACCTAATATATAGAGTGGATAAATTTGATTAAATCACTACAGGTCTGTTGACATTAGATATTGATTCTGGCATCATGCATCAGATTAGAGTAAGCCATTGTCACATGGTTGTTCTAAGTTAATCTACCGAAAAAAATCTTTTGATATGCTTTCAGATATCGGCCTGATTTATGAAGAGATTTATGCATATTTATCTTCAAAGGAAGATTGTTAAGATACTTATCTTTAAACAATGTCATTGATTTGATTCTGACTTTGTACGTCATGTTATTGACTGGTGTCAGCTTACGTCAGCTTGACTCAAGTCGAGCTGAATTCAGTGTGGTCGCAGATCTGAAAGCTCAGGCTTTTGAAATCAAATTCTCGTTCTGATTAGATGCATGTTTGGCTAAGAATGAGGATGGGGTCGTTGATGGCCTCGGGAGCCGTGCATCGTAATGGTCCTGCTCTGTCATATTCAGATTTCATTTAAAGCGGGTCAGCGCAGGGTCAATTCAGACTGAGCCGAAGGCAAAACATAACACCCAGACTTATACGTCATACAGGCCAATAGGCGTCTGCTTAACGCAAAGAATCAAACTCATTTTTACACTTAGGAGGAGTTGAGCTACAGGCTGTTATTGACCCCTTTTGCATGGACACAATGTTTATTTGCTTACTTCTTCATGCTTAATCGCTTGCAGTGTTGCTTGTTGGATAAAAGCATCTGCAGTTTCTTTTCAAAGTTATGGTTTTCACATTGCAGTTTATACAACAGGTGAAAAAAATAAGCCCAAGCCTTACCTAGCAGCCACCCTGACATCATGCAAACATACACTACATCAAAAAGCAAGCAAATGTATTCAGCAAAGATGTAAAAAGTGGCAGGAAAGATATTTATAATCAGTTTATTTATTTATAAAACCATCCTGAAATTGTATCACGGTGTCTTTTACGAAACATTTCATTTTACAAAAAAAGTTTCTGAAATGTATTTTAAATCGTATTGTATTCCAGCTAGTTGCCAAGGCAACATTTTTAATTTCTGTTTAGTTTAACTTCATACTAAAATAGCTAAAATTAAAACTTACAAATTAATTTAAAAAAAAGCTATATAGACAATACAAAAAAACTATAAAAAACTAAACAACTAAACTAAAATTATAATGAAAATGGAAAATATAAAATAAATATTAATAAAAACTACTATTGTATCTCAATGATACTAAAATAGCACTGCAACAAAATAACACTAGTCGAATCAGGAACGGTTGCAAGCAAGATTCAAACTTCCCTCACCCACAAGACTCTATATTGAAGCATGTGCATTGCTTGTTTTGCTTAGTTGCTTTGCTCGCATACTACATATATATACTAAATGCATGATATTTGATCAAAGTACCTTAAGCTTTGCTTTTATTTGTGTGTGTGTGTGTGTGTGTGTGTGTGTGTGTGTGACAGTGTCCCCTGCTGCAGAGAGGCTACGTCACATCCTCAGAGATGAAGATGAGCCCACACCCACCCTCTTCACTGAGATGGACACACTGCAGCATGAGGGTGGAGAGATGGAGTGGAAAGAGTCTGCCAGGTGACACACACACACTCACTTCTGAAGCCCATTATCTAAATTATGAAAAATTGTAATTTGACCGATTCATCCAATTAAAGGTTTGTGCCTTAAAGTTGATCTCAGTGACTTTCAGAATGTATTTATTACTTTAACATTTTATCCAAAAACAACTTACAAAAGAGGAGCAAACGCAATTCATCATATTGCCAACAATATCGTAATATTAGATTATTATAAATCATAAAGCATTTTTTTAATCTTAGTTCACATTCTGCGGTTCTACATTTACTTATACATTATTAAAATCTAGTTGATCTAATATTATTTAATGGACCCGAGGTAACATGAACTGACAATGAGCAGCTGTATTTTATTAACTAACATTAGCAAATATTAATAAATACTGTAACAAATTTATCGCTCATTATTACTTAATGCATTAACTAATGCGACCTTACTGTAAAGTGTTACTTTATAAGGAGATTTATTGATTGTTGCAATGATTAAAAACCCAGAAACATTTCATCCATATTTTGGTATGTGGGAAGAAAAGTAGCCAAGGTAGCATTTGTAAAGTTGCATCTTCTGTGTGTTTCATCAGGTGGGTTAAGTTTGAGGAGAAGGTGGAGGAGGGTGGCGAGAGGTGGAGCAAACCGCATGTGTCCACGCTGTCTCTGCACAGTCTGTTTGAGCTGCGCACCTGCCTGCAGACGGGCTGCATCCTGCTGGACCTGGAGGGCTATTCACTGCCGCAGATAGTGGGTCAGTACACCGTCTGCCCAGAAAACACTACATAAAGACCAAAGAACAGACCTGAGTTCAATCTTAGACTATAGAACTTGAGTTTGAACACCTAATATTCACAAAGTTCCAAAATTCTGCTTATTAATATTCCATTTTATAAATATACACTATGGTTCAAAAGATTTTTATTGGAAAGAAATGATTCAGCAAAGCCTGTATTAAATTGATCAAAAGTGGCATTTATAATGTTACTTTCTGTTCATCAAATAATCCTGAAAAAACGTAAGAAAATCACGTATCCACAAAAATATGAAGCAACAAACTGTTTTCAACATTGATAATACCAGTGCAGATCCTAGACTTCTGTGGGCCCTATGCAAAACGGTGGCGTGGGGGGTGGGATTATGAGTTGTTAACGAATGAATGAAACGCATTTGTCCGTGTTTCACTCCAACTCGAATCGCGCTCGCGGAAAGCGCTTGAGAAACAGTGTCTCTTCCGCGGCTCGGTACGCTTTCAACTCATTATTTTAGTCTCGAGCAAGACTGTACGACATTCTCATTACATGATTTGACTGATTTTTACGTAGAAAGGGCGACAGCGCACCACATTAAAAGAAATTATCATTCATGTTTTCATAACCACTGACCAAATTAAAAAACGAAACAAAAATTAAATCATCTTTGAGAGCAAGGGGGCCCCCTGGTGTGTTGGGGGCCCTACGCAGCTTGCATGTTTTGCGTATAGGGAGGATCGGCTCTGGATAATAATAGGAAATGTTAGGAAAATAGGAATAATAGGAAATGTTACTTAAGCAGCAAATTAGCATATTGGAATGATTTCTGAAGGATCATGTGACTTTTGAACTATACTTTTGATTATGTTTCTAGCTACTAATAGGAGTCCAGTACCACACATTTTCCAAATTAAAAAATACCTATTCAAAAATGATAGCATGCATTAGTCAAAACTGTATTGCTCAGATATTGTTCTTTTAAAGCTCGTTTAATGGGGTTACGTTTATCTGAAGTCTCAACTCTGTGTTGTTTCTCGTATGATTTATGAAATTTATACTAATTCAAATTCAGTAAATGTTCAAATAGAAAGCAACTCAGACCATTTGATCTTGCAAGAATTTGATGAGAAATGTTTTAGTTCATATTTAGATCTCAAATTTTAATTGCAGATTTTGCTAATCTGAGCACAGTTTGAGACCTTGTTGAGATCTCCTCTCAAAAAATGTAGAGGAGACTTTTGAGATTACTGGGACTTCCATATGCTCCATACACTCTGTGGAGGAAATTTTGAAATTAATAATTTTTAAGTCAAATAATTATTTAAAAAAAATTAAATAAAAATCAGTTGACCATAACTAACATTCTTCTTTCTCTGCAGGCCTAACTTTTGAGTACATTTTGAAGAACAGAATGTTCTAACTTTTAGAAATGTTGCAATAATGAACGCGTACAAACGAGACGTCTAGACGTCTGTCGGAAAATATTAATAGCCATACGATCTTGTGATTTTGGAATAAGATTAAGTAATCAGTAACAGGATGCAGATTTGACATATTTGAACCAATCATAGAAGAGGGGAATGATTTAATGTGAGATGATGTTGTTTCTGCTATGTATCTTTCCTATTTAAACTGTTGTCTGATTAAAAGCATATTCAAAGGCATCGTCTGGAGTCTGTCTGGTTACTGCTTTGTCTGTGTTTTTCTGCCTTTCACAGATGACATCATTGAAAAGCAGGTGCAGGAGGGTCTTCTAGCTCCAGAGATCCGTGAGAAGATCAGTTTTGTCCTCTTGCGGAAGCACCGTCACCAGACCAAGAAGCCGATCCACCGCTCGCTGGCGGACATCGGAAAATCCAGCCCCTCTAGTGAGTGTCTCCTGTGCCACAGTCAGTGATGTTCCCAGAATCCCCTGTCTTTCTCTGGCACTTGTCTTTTCCAATCATTTCTTATGAACTTCTTTTTCTTGCATTTCCACTTTATTCTTCTGCCTGTCCTGCCATCTTGATCATATCTTTCTCTGTGTCTGATCTCGGGTCTGCATCAGACCGCAGTCCGAGCCCGAGTCCTCGCTCTGGGTCGGGTTTCCATCGCTCCACTGAGGACCTGCGAGCTCGTCAGAGCGCCGGCCTCAGCAAACTGCGTGAGTCTGGCCTTCTGTGTCTTCCCCCTTCCATAGATTTATCTACAACTACTTCCAGATCTCTGGATTTTCTAATAAACATTCACGTTTTGTCGCTTTAAATCACCAAATCTCATTAAAAATGCAAATTGCTGTCAGTGTGAACACCCTTTAACCTCACAGAGCATCATTCACACACTAACGGCTTGCAGTTGCACAAGAAGGTGAACAATTTCGGCAAGTATGCGGCAGTGCATTTCTGCCATTGTTCTGAGGATTAGAGATTATTAGAAAGGTCTTGACGTTAGTTTTTCATTCTTGTTTGTTATGATTTGTTTCTGTACTCAGAAAAACAACATATTTTTTTCTTATCTCTAAAGAAAGAGTTACTAAAAAGTATACTATAAAAGTACCTTTTAAAAAGCATAATTGCATAAAAGACCCATTCTAAGCAAAACCTCTCAAGCAAATGTCACATTTAGAAGTTTACGATGTGTGGCACGTGAATATTGTAATCATAAAATTACATGGTATATACTAAAGTAACATGCTATTACCATCTGAATCTGATGCATAATTTGTGATTAATTTGTTGCTTTATTTGGCTTTGCCTTTGTCAGTGAAATCACATCAACACAGAAATTACATCATAATAATGTATTTAATTTTGTACTATTTTAGTATTATTTATATTCTGTTATAGTATTTATTAACATTTTGAATTTGTATTTATTTTTAGTTTAAGTTTTAGTAATTTGGTTATGTGCTTTTTATTAGTTTTGAAATATTTCTATAGATTTAATTTATTTTCATTTCCATTTTAGCTTTAGTAAATTTGGTACGTCAGCTTTAAGTTATTTGAAGTTGTATTTTAGTTTTAAGTATTATTTTTTACATTTACTTAATTTTGTTGTTTTTTTACTACTGTTAGTTAACAGTAACAACACTGATTAAATTAATAATCATCAAAGTCTTTCATTTGTGCTTTTCAGATCCTTCTCAGTGCCGCAGTATGAATGATATTTCCGTCACACCCAGCACCGACCAGGTACAACATTTTTCCATTAGTATTCCTAACATTGTGTTATTTTTTTCACATGAACATACTGAAATACACAGAAAATGAATTTATTCATTAGCACAGAGTAAACAAGATGATTACAGAAACAAGAGCACTTCATCTGGGGTCTTGTCTTATTTATGTGCATTTATGTGGCAGATTTGATACACATACGTCTCATAATTTATGCAGGGTAATATTCCATATAAGTCACACAAATGCTGCCAGCAGTCGTTTGTCATTTTGTAGTGTGTTCCTTTATTTTAATGTGAAGCAAAATCTGAAATGCACAATAAAGCACTTAGTTTTGCCAAAGCATTTTGAGGCGATTGCGGGGCTTCAGTGTTTGTGTGAGGAGAGTTGTTGGTGCCGCTGCTCTTAGATCGCTAGACTTCAAAGTGGGCCAATTCTGAGTCCACTTTAATGAGTTTTTCTGCTTAAAGTGACACCCGCGGCTCACTTTCATGTGGTCACTGCCCATGACAGGCTTCATTTATGCCTTACAGGAGCATGCTGAGATTGAAAGTCAGGGATCCTGGGAATTATAGGGTGTCAAATGCGTGCAGATTTCATGTGCAAAGATATTTCCACAAGTTAGTTTATAGAATTTGAATAATATACAGATACATTTGTGCATGCATTTAAACTGAGTATTTGGATTAATTCAGGTGTTAATGCAATGGCTCCAAAAAGGACCTTTAAAAATGAATTGTCATTGCATTAACAAAATATCAAGTGGCAATTATTTTCAAAAAAGACAGCGCAAGCACATTTTTCATGCAAGTCACTTTGAACTAACTTAGTTATAGGGGAATTGACATCATGCATCCAATAAAAATCACCTTGGTCCAGGTAAGGATGTGAAATTAGTTCTGAAAATAGATAGAGGTTCAACTTTTAAGTGAGACTTGAGTGTCCATATACTGGATTTTATATAATAGGATATTATTCTAATAGAGCGGTGGAACTTACAGATTTGATGTACATATAGTACATATATAACGGCAGCGAACGATCTGACAAGAGGCAAAACCGGGTCGGGACATAAAAAAAAGGAGCTTGTTTATTCATTGCAGAAAGCGAATTGACTCTGAAAGCGGCATTAAAAGATTAAAAGCTGATTTTGCCCATAAGCACAGACCATTCCACATCCACGTGTTCTTTGAGGCCACCGTTGCCAAGCGGCTGTTTTCATTGGTTCATTTGCTCAGTCTTCCCGCTGTGATTGCATATCTTTATTGATCTGCTATTGGAAAAAATGAGCCGCTTCCCATTTCCCATCACATGCAGGCACATCAGACATCGATAATAGAGCTCATATTGATACTGGTATCAGGTTGTGTGAACACAAACTCTTTCCAACATGGAAATTTCATGACCTACGCATCTCAGTGCTTCAGACCATATGGACTAATTAAACCCACACATTGTTTTCTTATTCCACCCACCAGCTGAAGAATAAGTTCATGAAGAAGATCCCCAGAGATGCCGAGGCTTCTAATGTGTTGATTGGAGAGGTGGATTTTTTAGACAAGCCGTTTGTGGCCTTCGTTCGTCTGGCTCAAGCCGCAACACTAGGGGGCCTTACTGAAGTCCCTGTGCCAACAAGGTGATCCTCCCACAACAGTTTGCATATGTTTATTGGCTGTTTAAATAGCTGATAGCAGATATTAGATATTGACGTGTAGTTGCAAAGTTGCTTGTAGTTAGTAGAATGTAAAAGTGGTTTCTAAGCCCATTTCCACCACCACAATATGAAATAAAAAATCCCGCAGAATGGAAAAGTCAATATTAAAACATAAAAAGTTGATTTTGTGACTTTTTTTTATTTCATAATTATGACTTTGTATCTTATTTCACTTTTTATATCTTAATTTTGTGTGGCGGAAATGTACTTGCATACTATATATACTGTATTGCAATTATATTGCAATCATTTTATTTCTGGATATCTATTTTTACTGGAAAACGAGACAAAAAGGAAATCAAAATATTTTTGCAGTGTGCTCAGGGTAAAGTGGCATTGATCATTTTTAACAGAAAGAGAAAGAATGCATTGTAAATGCATATTTGCCTGAATTTTTTCCAATATTTAGTTATATTCAGCATAATACTCAAAACTGCCTAATATGAAGCAGTTAACTGGCCTGGCCATTATATTGCTCTATTATTGTTTTATATCATTTCAGAGTAAAAATAAAAAATATTGTGAAAAATAAATATGATATAAAAATCATTGTGACATATAAAGTCACAGTTCCATTTTTATTTTTTTTACTCTTAGACAGAAACATATGGAAGCCCAATTTTGCCACATATATATATATATATATATATATATATATAAATCTTGCTTTGGAAAATCATAATAATGACACAAAAAGTGTCGACATAAGATAAAACTATAAGATAAAAGGACAAAATTATGATATCAAAAGTCATAGTTAACACAAAAATGTAGAATTTTTATGTCACACTCGACTTTTACTATCAACATTTTATCATAATCATGACTTGCTATGTCATAATTTAGACTATAATATCTTGTCATTTCGACTTATTTCATAATTTCATAATCTTTTTATCTCAAATGTATCACTTGGTATCTCATAATTGACGTTTTATGTCATAATTGTCATAATATATCATAATAATGATGTCATAATTTTGACTTTTATGGTTTACCAAAGCATGAACTTTTTTTTCTTATGTGGCAGAAATGGGTGTCCACAATAAGCAGGCTTCTTAAAATGTCTTTTAATAAATTTAAATAAAAAATATATTAAGTTAAATTTCATGAAATTTATTGACAAAGCATTTGAAATTTGAAAAGTGTTCAAAATTTCTTTGAAAAAGTCTTTCTGTTACTTTATTTGCTTTTTTTCTCCTTTTAGTTACAGTTTTCTGTCTGCATGTCCTTTCATTTTTGGATGTGTCTCATTGACTTCCAGGGTGTGATGGAAAGCTTTTTGGGCACGGCTTTGGCCGGCGTGGTCTTCTGCCTCTTCAGCGGTCAACCCCTCATCATCCTCAGCTCTACAGGACCGATACTGATCTTTGAAAAGCTGTTGTATGAGTTCAGCATGTGAGCAGGACATCCTGTGATTTAGTGAAGTCAATACGCATGTAAACAAAATCATTGAATTAAGTGAGTTGGCAGTCTTGCATTGAGTTTGTTTCTTCATTGTCATCTGTGTTCAGAAACAATGACATAGACTACATGGAGATCCGGCTCTGGATCGGCCTGCACTCCTGCCTCCAGTGTCTGATCCTGGTGGCCACAGACGCCAGCTACATCATCAAGTACATGACGCGCTTCACCGAGGAGGGCTTCTCCAGCCTCATCTCCTTCATCTTCATCTCTGACGCCCTTAAGAAAATGATGAGTATCTTCAATTATTACCCCATCAATCGAGACTTCAAGCCAGATTACATCAGCAGCTACAGGTGTGACTGCCAGGCTCCTGATCAAGGTGAGTCTGACCCCTGACCCCTGACCCAACGAGCCTCAACCTCAGGCAGGCTTGGTGGGATTATTCACGTCAAGTCTGAGTCTGACCCTGTTTACTTTCTTCATTTGTATAATTTTACTTTCTATAATACTTTTTATATTTGCTTTGTCTTTTTGAAAATGATTCATCAGTGCATGTTATTCCAAGGTTTGTTTTCATTATTATTTTATTATTATTGTTTTATTATCATTATTATTCATAATAGTAACATTTGTTATTAGTAAACAACGTTTTATTTAAATGTAACTGAATGTAAATCATTAAATGTAAATATAAACATATGTAATTATTATTATTATTATTATTAATAATATTTATTAATATTGATACAAATATTTTTTGATGATAACATTTTAAATAAAAATAATAATACATTTTCAGGATATTTTCAGGGTAAATTTTTCATTTTGTCATATTTTTGCCTTTGATGAAAAAATCCTTTATTCTATCATATTTTGTCATATTAATATTTAATCATTTTAATCAATTAAAATGACTGTAGCTGTTTAATTTTTTATCTCCACAGATGACTGCGATATGACACAAAATACTGACTGAATTTAAATTATATTTTTATCAAAAGTCAAAAATTATGATAAAGAAAATGATTATTATTATTGATGAGCATAATTTTTGCACCATTTTTTGCCATATTTTTTGTCTTTTGATGAGAATATCCTTTAAATTTAGTCCTTATTTTCTTGTCTTACTAATTGATTTGAATTCATTAGTAATTCTTTTAGTTTTTAAAAGTAATAATTTTGGTCAACTAAAATGACTACAATTAGTCATTTTTTTTCCATCTCCACAAATGACTGCAATCCTGCATTCAACCACTGTTCACATTCCAGATAAAATCAAGACCCGTCTTAAAATAGTTTCTGTTAAATATTTGGTTTTACTCAGAAATTTAAGGAAAATTTAAGTTGACTTTTTTGGATGATGTATTGGTTTGTTACATCTGACTACTGCAACTTATGTGTATCATATTTGTTTTTGTCGCCCATACTCAATTTGGCTGCTGACTGGAGTAAGTATTGGCTACTACCATGTGGACATCTGTATAAGATGTTCTTGATATCTTATTTTGGGAATGACAGTATTTTTCGTCAATTAACATAAAAACTCTAGTGCTTGTTTATCTTCTGTTGTAGCGTCTCCATTGGCTCTCAACGCTTCCTCTCCATTAGGCCTAGAAAACATCTCTGATTACTCTATGGTGAGCTGCAGCTGTGTTTAACATCAGGGTTTCTTCAAAACAAGTATCACGATAACTTTTAGCTCTTTGTGTTTCTGTCTCTTGTTGTCTTTGTCCACACATGATCTCGCTCCTCCGCTCAGTTCAACTTCTCTGCTCTGGACTGGAATCAGCTGAGTAAGAAAGAGTGCTTGAGTTTCGGCGGTTCCCTGGTGGGCAAATCCTGCAAATACGTCCCTGATCTGGCCATGCTGTCTTTCATTTTGTTTTTCGGCACTTACTCCATGACCATCTCGCTCAAAAAGTTCAAGGCCAGCCGTTACTTCCCCACAAAGGTTGGAAAACTGTGTATTTCCCTTCCATGTCAACACACTACCACGTGGAGATGGTTTCCCTTCTGCCAGTCTGTATTATATTTACCGCTGTCCCTCAACTTCTGGTTGTTTCTTGTTTTTCTCCAAGTGTCGCACCTTGATAGCAGATTTTGCCATAATTGTATCCATCCTGGTCTTCTGTGCTTTGGATTATGTGATGTCCTTGGACACTCCCAAACTGCATGTGCCCACCCAGATAAAGGTCCAGCATGTGTCGTCTTCTCTGTCTTTGTTATACAGAAGAAGACTTGCCTTTTTAAACTGGTTATATTTGAATTAAATGCTGCTTTCAAGTCATCATTGTGTATAAGAGAAAGCGCACAAGTGGCACCAAAAGATATTATAAAGTGGCAAATTCTGGATTTTCTTTGATTCACCGTTTCATATTATTCCAAGAATTAAATAAATAAATATAATTCAAAAGGAGGTATTATTATTATTTGTATTAGTAGTAGTAGTAGTAGTAGTAGTAGTAATAATAATTTTAAGTCTTCAACTGATTACAAATAGTGATTAATAATAATTATTAAAACCACTAATAATAATAATAATAATTAGTAACAGAAATATTTTACAATGAATGATAACAATAATAATTTTTGAATACAATTAATAATAATAGTAATAGTAATAATAATAATAATAATAATGTTTAATAATTAAGTAATTATATTTGAATAAATAATTATTATTTTTAAATAAAACAATTACATTTATTATTATTATTATTATTATTATTCTATAAGCCCTGGCTTCCCAAATTTGGTGAAAGTACATTTGTATTGATTATAAGTATATTTCTTATTGTAAATGTGGATCTTTACATTTTGTTTGTATGCATTTTATTTAAAACGTATATAATAGTATATTGGTAAGAATATTATTTAATAATTTTTTGGTAATAATAAATATTTTTTTTTAAATATTGAATCAGAAAAGTGTTTCAGAGGACATAAAATATAGTACATGTACAACATGTACACAGACAGATAAAATGATTATAATTTTTAATGAAATACATTAAATTCAGTTCATTTTATGTATAATAATTCAAATATGAACATGAGACCATACAAGTATGATAATTACATTTACATATTCAGTTAAAAAATTTCATCTTAAAACAAACAACATACAAAAATCACATTGCATTTTGAAAATAAATATGTATTTATGTGTGCTGAAATTCATAACAAATTCCCAGAACGACTTGAAGGCATCAAACATGTTACTGCTGCATTTTCAAATCTACCAGCCTTTTCTCTTATAAAGCCTCTGATCTCCTCTAGTTTTAGTTTTCTCCGTCTTTATCTTTCTTTTTTCCTCTGTAAATGTGCAGCTTCGGAAGCTCATCAGTGATTTTGCCATCTTCACGTCAATCATGACATTTGTTGGTCTTGATATGTTAATGGGGCTTAAAACACCTAAACTGATTGTGCCAACCGAATTCAAGGTATGTTGTGCTACAGATACGCTCGTATCTTTCTTTACCTCCCGACTGCATCTGTTTGAGCTTTTTCACAATGATTATATACTAACATCACATTAATCCACTGTGCTTTACTAAACACAGCATGTGATTTCAGTGACATCCGCTGGTTACTGCTGTGCTTTCATCAGTGTTGTTGTGTCTGTGCAGCCGACGCGGCCGGATCGCGGCTGGATCGTCATGCCCTTTGGGAAGAACCCGTGGTGGATGTGCTTGGCCAGTTTTGCACCTGCTCTTCTGGTCACCATCCTCATCTTCATGGACCAGCAGATCACGGCTGTCATCGTCAACCGAAAAGAAAACAAACTGAAGGTGCTGAACATCACCTTTGCATCTTACTAGCAGCTCTCATTTTCACACCCCAGCAAGCATGCAAAGCACCCTGTCAAAACTGTAACTAAAATAATATTTTATAACTTCATTTGCTTCATTTTCTACATGCTAAATATCAGATTTTTAGTGCTGTCAAACGATTAATCGCGATTAATCGTTTGACAGCACTACTTATTTTACACCTAAAATAGGCTTTCTTTTTATATGCTAAATATTTTTATTCTGAAATACTGCAAAATAATCCAAAAAATCTTAAATAGGCTGTTGTCTCTATGCAAAATTATTTTTATTCTATATGACATCTCAGTGATCGTACAATAAGCTTAATTTTTTTAAATGCTAAATATTTTTATTCTGAAAAACATTAAAATTGTTGAAATAGTCTCAATTTTCATGAAAATTACACCATACTATTTTTTTTTTATTGAATAGGCTTTGTTTTCTCTATGTAAAATCATTTTTTATTTAATTAAATTTTTTATTAAGTTTAAAGCTGGAGTACTAAAATTACTAAATAAATAAATTCAAATTAAATAAATAACATTTTTATTTCAAAATTAAAAGAAACTACACCTACATAGAAATATGAAGGGAAAAAATGACTAAACATAAAATATAAAAATGGAAGCTAATTCAAATTTTTTATAAATGCTATAATTGTATATTAATAATACTAAATTTTCATGGGCTAGCACCCACTCAGAACACCGTAGGTACTGTAAAGAAACTCCTCAGTGACCAATTCCCAATACTGCAGCACCACAATGTTGAGTTTTGAATATTTAATATGCATCTATGTCCATTGACAGTAGTGTTGTTGTTCCATGAAGCATTGCTAAATGTCTTCTTCCCATTTTACCTGAGCAGAAGGGTTGTGGTTATCATCTGGACCTGTTCTGGGTGGGCATCCTCATGGCCGTCTGCTCCTTCATGGGTTTGCCCTGGTACGTGGCAGCCACAGTCATTTCCATCGCCCACATCGACTCTCTGAAGATGGAGAGTGAGTCCAGCGCTCCTGGTGAGCAGCCACAGTTTCTTGGTGTGCGGTAAGTCAAAACCAGACTTCTTGTGTAGAATTTAGCACAAGTACTTTGTCATGTAGTTGTGAGGAGCATTATGTTTGTGTTTGTTGCAGGGAACAGAGACTCACGGGCGTACTGGTGTTTGTCCTCACTGGAGTCTCTGTCTTCCTTGCACCAATACTGCAGGTAATTGTTCTTACTTTACTTAAATGAAACCATGCTCATTTGTTTTCTCAGTGCTGTACAAATAATTGTGTGTATTTCTGCGCAGTACATCCCTATGCCTGTGCTGTATGGTGTTTTCCTGTACATGGGCGTTGCTTCTCTCCATGGCATTCAGGTACATGTGGCTCTGTAAATCTGTAGTTCAGATTTAATAGTTCATCCAAAAATGACAATTTACTGAAAATGTACTCTCCGTGCATACAAGATGTAAATGAGCTTGTTGTTCATCAGAACAGATTTGGAGACATGTAGCATCACGTTACTTGCTCAGCAATGGATGCTCTGCAGTGAATGGGCGCCGTCAGAATGAGTCCAAACAGCTGATAAAAACATCACAATAATCCACACCAGTCCAGCAATTAACCGCTTGAAAAGCTGCGTGCTTGTAAGAAACAAATCCATCATTAAGATGTTTTTAATTTCATACCATTGCTTCTGGCTAAAATATGAGTCCTCTATCCATAATATTGCTTTATCCAGTGAAAAAGGACAGAAATATACACAGATCAAGAACGATTTAATACACGAGTTTCACAATTTGAGTTGAATTACTGAAATTAATGAACTTTTCCACGACATTCTAATTTATTGAGATGCAACTGTACAAGTGAATCCAGATCAAAACTGTTCTAAACTAATATGTTGATGGATTTTGATGTGAGAGGACAACAGGGGATGAGTTTTCTCACTGGTGGAAGCGTTATTATGGATTATGGACTCATATTTTGACCAGAAGCGATGGTTTAAAGTTAAAATATCTTAATTGTGGATTTGTTTCTTACTAACACAGCTTTTATATTTTATATTCTATTATAAATGCTAATATATATACATATATATATTTATATTTACAGTAGTAATAACAAATTTAAAACAAACTTTATTTTTATATTTTTATTAAAATGTATTTATTAAATATACAAATAAAAATTTAAAATATACATATTTTATAGATTTGATTATATATAATTAATATTCAATAATAAAATTAGTAAAAATATCAACTTTATATTTTTATGTACTTATTAATTATAAAGAAATAAAAAAATGTAAAGTGTGGGTGTGTGTATATATAATTAAATATATTATTACATTGGCGCTCATAGCCTCGTGGGCAGCGTGCCGATATATAACGCCATAGTGTTTCAGGCGTTCCGAGTTTGAGTCCCGGCTTGCGGACCTTTCCCAATCCCTCCCCCCCCCTCCCACTTCGCTTACTGTCTAATAACTGTGCTGTCATAATAAATAAAAAATGTCAATAAAATATATTAATAAATATGATACTTTTTTTCAGGATTCATTGGTGAATAGAAAGTTCAAAAGAACGGCATTGATTTGAAATAGAAATCTTTAGTAAAACTATAAATGGTTTTACAATCACTTTTGATCAATTTAATGTCTCCTTGCTGAGTAAAAGTATTAATTTAATAAATAAATCAATAAAAACACAGTAGAGTGCCTGCATGCATATTATCGGTTCCACTGGTGTTGTCTCCTCCCAGTCAAAGTGTCCCAAAGACTCCCTGCCGTCAGTGAAGATTCCTCTGAAGCCAATGAGTCCATCATGTTGTCCAAACCCTCCTAATTCTGAGCCCTCGGCCTAACTGTGAGTACTGGGACCCAAAGGGGTGCTGTTCCATGAGCAAATCTTCATCTTTATATGTTTTCTTTCTCGTTTGAGTAGGAGCATCACGCTTATTCTTGCACCCCTGGCGACTCGGACCTGGATCCGGACAGATTGACATCCCTCACCTGAACCTGAAGCGTCCTGAAGCTGATCAAACACACAAACCATGATGAGATGCAAGCACAGCATCACTGGCGCTGTCCCAAACACACCAGGCTCACAGATGTATGATATTTTTACGTATTTGACCAACGCAGCGAGTGACGCACGTTTCCAAACCCACATTGACCATATTGCGCGTGAGTCATTGAGACCTTGGATTTGACTCAAGATCCTTCAGTTAGATCCAGGCGAGCTGTGCCAGTGTGAACGACTGAGCTCATACACACAAACACTTGCTGCGTGAGAAGATCAACACATGAGATTCACCAGATTCAACTCTATTCCGAGAAGACCTGGAAAGACTCAAATAAGAAGCGGAAGAGGTTTAAACCAAGTTTATGATTTTATTACCATATTGTATAAATATATTTGAACTGTATGATATTAAATACGGATTTCATAGAACCTAGTGGGACAAAAGCGCAAATAAATTATAGTTAGAAAAACAGTGTATCTAGTAAATTCAGTTGGATTAAATTTGTTGTATTACAATTAAAACATATATTCCAAACATAGATTCTGAGTTCATATTGTAGCATTTTATATATAAAAAAATCAGAAATGTGTATGAGTAATGTTGAAATGTTTCCAGACAGGCATAAATGTGTCTTTGTGGTCTATTAGAACAACAAACAGGTTTGTTTTATTCAGATTCTGTTTGTTCAAATAAAGAATGAAAGTTATTTTTGAGTGTCAACCCTTAAATTCCCATGTAGAGATTTACAAGCTTTTTGGGCATTGTCCCATTCTTTACAGTATACCGTGTAAAACATTAAATACATAATTAGTTAACTAATGATATGAACATATGAAAATGATAGAAACAAAATTACTAGAACTTTAAATAAAATTACAGTGAAAACGGAAAACATAAAATAAAAGCGATCAAGATATTAACAAAAGTTATACCAGTGACACTAAAATAACAGTGGTACAATGCTATATATTAAAATATCACCTTATGATATTAGCCACATCGAAAGGGAATTTAATACAATGATATGATATGGTGATCTCATATTTATTTATTGTTAGTAACTACAGTATTTGTGGCGGAAACTGTAGTTACAGTGATGAATTTATTGTAGGGTTTGCAATTAATAAGATTTTCTGTTGAAATGCAGCAAATAAATGCTAAATATATACTAAATCTGTTGTGATTTTAATTGAAAACAATCATATACTAAACAATGTATAATATATATGAGTACAAATGATAGGAAAGTTACTTTAAACGTGTTAACGGAAATATACTGTAAAGCTATTAATCAAATTGTATGTTTACATAAAAACTCTATTTCCTAAATCCTTCTCCATGAATGGCCTCTTGACGTCGCGCGCACGTCCACGCACGTGACGTCACGTCCATTCGCACGCGCTGATTTGACGGGAATTACTCGACTTCCGGTCGAGGAGCAGCTCAAGAGACTTCCCTGCGGCGGCGGAGCGGAGAGACACAATAACAAAGCCATGGGAGAAATGTCCGGCTTCGAGAACAGACTGCAGTCGTACTCTTCCACACAGCTGCACGAGCTGCTGGAGGACGATGACAAGCTCCGGAGGATGGTCAGGGAGATGGAGGAGGTGGGTTTAATCCCGGAATATGATGATATGTTTGGGGACCGCTGCTCGAGCTTTCATAGCACTGCTGCTTTTGTGTTTTGCTGGATTCTGGGACAGAGATCTTTCTCGTTTGACTACAGCAGTGTTGATTTATTGGGAAGTGTTGTTGACTGAAGGAGTGTGTCAGACTAAAGAATGAAGGCTTTATGAACTGACCTTATAACATAAAGACAAAAAGATGACTGTGATATGAAGTTGGACTGGTTTAGCATGAACGCTGTGACATTGCAAACATGCAATTTCTTTAGTATATATAGCAATGCTGATAATACCATAATATGACTGATTATTGATTATTAGAGTTTCATGTATTTTTTTTTCATGTCTAAAAATGTCAAAAAGTGAAATGTTTTTATCATCCAAATGATCATACAATATTATTTATTTTAATAATAAACATTTACAATCAATCATATATGTGTAATTATATATATTTAAAAAAGCATGCTATATTGTTCAAATATATAAAATAAATTACTATAATATTAAATGAATAGATTATTTATAGCCATATTAATATTTTTGAATATTTGCGGCCTATATATAAATTATTGCTATATATTAAATTATTGTTTTATTACATTATTTTAGGCCCTTTTAGATGCTTTATGTTCTTATGTTTATGTATATATATATATAATTCATGTACTCTCTTAAGCAGTACATTTTATTAAATTATATTGTTTTATTTAAATTAGTTTTAAATTTTATACATATTTTAATATTTATTAAATAATAGCTTTATTACATTATTTAGGTCCTTTTTTTTATTTCCTTATTTTATAGTGCATGGGCTGTATAAATAATCTTGCATTGCACTGCTGAGTAGTTGAAAAGATCCTTGAAGCATGGTCTGTGACTCACAGATGCAGGACATGCAGCAGAATAAAGAGCTGACGATCGCCAGTAACCGCAGCCTGGCGGAGCAGAACCTGAGCCTGCAGCCTGAGATGGACCATCAGAAGATCCAGCTGACCAAACGCTACTGCTGTTTACAAGATCTGCACGAGTCCTACCAGCTCCGCAGGTCCACCCTAGGTCAGATATGAATTTACCTCACTCACACTCTTAGTTTTTCTATTGTTTTCATACTTGCTGAAGCTCATTTCTGAAAAGTAGTTTGACCAATAGCGTGCAGGCATGGTACATAATCAACCAATCATGGCATGCGAGAAGGCGGGATCTACAGAGAAAGTCAAAGCAATGCAAATACATGTGTATAAAAGGTATGAGGACTATAGAGGGAACGTCAACATGCAAACAAACCCAAAACCATTAGAAATCTCAGCCAGGACATGTCCCGGAAAAAAACACCAGCTTATTTAAACACATTGAGCAAAAGTGATGCAGAAAAGACAAGTTAGTGAAGAGAAAACATCCTGCAGCATTTGAGACATGCATGATGTTCAGACATTTTTTAAGCATGACCCGAGCATCCAAATACTTTGCACAATTTAAACTATGTAAATATTCCGGTGAAGACGGGACCACAAAACATTTATCCAAACCTTTTTTGTCTTCCTCCTTTGGTGTGAAAAGTAGTTTGACCAATAGCGTGCAGGCATGGTACATAATCAACCAATCGTGGCATGCGAGAAGGCGGGATCTACAGAGAAAGTCAAAGCAATGCAAATACATGTGTATAAAAGGTATGAGGACTATAGAGAGAACGTCAACATGCAAACAAACCCAAAACCATTAGAAATCTCAGCCAGGACATGTCCTGGAAAAAAACACCAGCTTATTTAAACACATTGAGCAAAAGTGATGCAGAAAAGAAAAGTTAGTGAAGAGAAAACATCCTGCAGCATTTGAGACATGCATGATGTTCAGACATTTTTTTTAAGCATGACCCGAGTATCCAAATACTTTGCACAATTTAAACTATGTAAATATTCCGGTGAAGACGGGACCACAAAACATTTATCCAAACCTTTTTTGTCTTCCTCCTTTGGTGTAAAACAATAGGTGAACCTGTTTGGTCACATAATGCTTCCTCTTTATTACAGTTGCAGCTGGTACTGATCATCCCAGGTCAAATCTGCACACAAATAGCAGTGTTAAAGGGCTGTATTTTGTGCTCTATATTTATCCCGTTTTCTCTAGGATTTATTTTAAGACTCCTTTTATATTGTGTTGTCAGCGTAATGATTTAGCAGAGCAGGTGTTTTGAAAGTGAGTTTATCAGGGTCCGCTTAGAATTACACTGATACAAAGACTGCTTGAATAATTTCCCAAAGAAACTCTACACTGATGTAAAGTTATCCACACTGTAAAACACTCCCTCTATTATTAGACCTGTGCTCTTTTCTAATGTGTCTGTTTGGTGACTATCCGGTACAGCATTTCTATAAAAGCAATGCAAAATGCTCACAGCGCTGTCTCACTTTTTTTAAAGGAATAATTCACCCAAAAATGTAAATTTTCTTGCCATCAGGCAATCCAAGATGTAGATAAGTTTGTTTCTTCATTGGAACAGATTTGGAGAAATTTAGCATTACATCACTAGCTCACCAATGGATCCTCTGCAGTGAATGGGGGCTGTCAGAATGAGAGTCCAAACAGCTGATTAAAAACATCACAAGAAAACCCACACACTCCAGTCCATCATCAATTAATGTCTTGTGAAACAAAAAGCTGCGCATTTGTAATAAACAAATCCATTATAAAGTCGTTCCATCATAAAGACAATAACTGATCGGTGTAGTGTGGATTATTGTGATGTTTTTATCAGCTGTTTGGACTCTCATTCTGACGGCACCCATTCACTGCAGAGGATCCATTGGTGAGCAAGTGATGTAATGCTCAATTTGTCCAAATCTGTTCTGATGAAGAAACAATCTGATCTACATCTTCAATGGCCAGAGGGTGAGTACATTTCCAGCAAATTGTCATTTTTGGGTGAACTGTTCCTTTAACATATCCTCTATGACCCATCAACTGTCCAATTAGAAATTAATGTGTATTATAATCAGTTTAATTAACCTAAACTGAATCAAACTATCCTTAGACAGCTACCATATTAAAAATAATATGAATATGATATTATAAAAATAATTAGAACACTGTTTACAACATTACAGATATGTAAAGTGATCTATTTTGGCGCTGTATTTCTGATGAAATCTGTCTTTGCAGAGAAGTGCAGGTACTTTGATGTAAAAACTGTCATGCTGGGTTGTGACAATTCTTGTGCACGTTTTATATGAAGGATGTTATTATGCAAGTCTGTGAAGTTAGAGAGTAAAGTCACTTATTGTATACTGATGTTAGTACAGGTTAAAATAAATCAAATGTGCCTTGCAACAGAACCAACATAAAAGTGACGATTAATGAAGAAAGCATTTAATCACACCGTCGCTGTGCTTTGATAAATCTTCGAAGCCATCTACAACTTTCTGTTTCTGAAGACAATTTATGGTGCAGAATCCTTCTGAACTGTTTTATCTGTAGTGTGGTAACCTGTAACACTCCTTATGTAAAGTACTGTACATTGTAGCTGTTTGATTAGTGGCTATCTGTGGCTAGATTTTTTTTTAATGCTGATTAATAAATGCCTAAAAGACTACTAAAAGGGAAATGTCAATATTTATTGATATATTCAGAACTTAATATCACATTTCTTCTTCTCCCTCTTCACCTTCTCCTTCGGGAGTGTCGACTCCCACCTCTTCATAATCTTTCTCGAGAGCGGCTAAATCTTCACGGGCCTCCGCAAACTCGCTCTCCTCCATACCTTCTCCGACATACCAGTGCACGAAGACTCTCTTCGCGTACATTAGATCAAACTTGTGATGCAGACGGTCCCAGGCCTCAGTGATGGCTGTGGTGTTGCTCAACATGCAGACTGCCCTTTGAACTTTGGCCAGATCGCCTCCTGGAACCATAGTCGGCGGCTGGTAGTTGATACCAACCTGAAAACAGTTTAAGCAACACATCTTTTCACACCTAACGACTCATGCAAATATTTACAAACATTAATATTGTATGCTATGTTACAGCATTGTTCCACTTGTAATAGTTTGTTATATATTGCTATGTTGTTTTCTCCAGTGTACAGTCCAACGTAGAACACAAAAGACACAGGTTGACCTTGAACCCTGTGGGACACCAGTCAACAAACTGAATGGTCCTCTTGGTCTTTATGCTTCCAATGGAGGCATTGACATCCTTTGGAACCACGTCTCCACGGTACAGCATACAGCAAGCCATGTACTTCACGTGCCGAGGGTCGCACTTCACCATCTGATTGGCTGGCTGAAAGCAGGCGTTGGTGATTTCCATGACGGACAGCTGCTCGTGGTACGTGGAGAACACCGGGGCGGACGTGACCAGGGGGAAGTGGATGCGAGGGTACGGCACCAGGTTGGTTTGGAACTCTGTCAGATCAACGTTGAGAGCTACGTCGAAGCGCAGGGAGGCGCTGATCGATGACACGATCTGACCAATGAGGCGGTTGAGGTTGGTGTATGTCCAGATAATTTCGGCAGATATCATAGATGGCCTTGTTGTCCACCATGAAAGCGCAGTCGGAGAGCTCGAGGGTGGTGTGTGTGGTCAGAATAGAATTGTAGGGCTCTACCACTGTGGTGGAAACCTGAAGAAGTACTTGCAATGTTTTTCATTATCCACTTGACTGAAAAACTGAAATATAGTGGATCTTGAGTGTGTTACAGGTGGTTTCCAAGATATTTCCCATTTTATCATATTTTTCATTTAATACAATATTTAAGTGAAGCTTTGTACCATTCTGATGAAGTAAAAGTGTTGAAAATTTCTCAGTATAAAGTGACTGAACAATACCAGAAACTAGGGGCGTCATGCAGGTATTATTTGGGGGGGGGGTTGGTTTGGGGGATGGGTGGATATCTTGATTCTCAAATATGCGTAAGTAAATGCATTTTGCACCTTTATAGATTGTTAGTTGATCTACTGTATAATGGGCGATGGGCAAATAATATTAGTGTAATCGATTAACTAAACATAAAATCCGTCTTTTTAATTAAGTAGGCCTACCAGATATGGGTGTCATGCCATAAAATATTTTAATACGATTGACACTGTATTTAGTGTGAATTTAATAAAAACATTGTAAGTTAGCCAATTATAACACTTTCTACAGAAAGAGAGCAAAGAACATTTACATCATCAAAGAACATTATCATTGACGTCTAACCAGAGTTCAAGCACTCTCAAAAACTCCCGTTATAATCACTGAAGTTGTTTACACAGTGAAATTAATCTCTTACTTCCCTTCGTACGCACATCTGCACTTGTTTCTGATGAGAGCAGAATTCAGTCAGCGTGCAGTGAACAAAACTTCAGCGATGCCTCCTCTGATTGGCAATTGCATTCATAAGCTCAACAGAATCGTGTGTGATTGGTTATAATGCTCAGCGCTGTCTGTCTCTGCCTCAGCGCCAGCCAGCGAACGCAGATTTGAATTTAGCAGCTAGTGATGTGCCGCACTTCACACCCATGTGTTTGTATCAAATATAAAAATATCTCTTTTGGAAGCTGCATTCAAAATCCACTTGGCTCTGAAATCTGCTTGAAATTTGCTTGAACTCCACCCCTTGCATTCACGTGTGCCAATGGATTATGCAAATTAACCAGCAATAATTTTCCCTTTTCAATTATCGTTTTTCTTAGCTGTACATCACAACACGTAAGAAAAGATCTGTCGCTATTTCTGTTTCATCTCGACTTTAAAGTGAGGGGAACTGAATAAAAATGTGGTAGCTGAGGTGCAAGGTAGACGGCAAACTCAAGCTTGGCTTTCTTGCCATGGTCAATGGACAGCCTCTCCATCAACAGTGAAGCAAAGCCTTGAACCAGTTCCACCACCAAAGCTGTGGAAGATGAGGGAACCTTGTATTCCAGTGCACTGGTCACACTAAATAAAAAAAGGTACAAACTATTAATAAATCTATAAAAACATAATTGCAAGAAAACTTGCATATCTAAATATAGAAAAATGTCTTACCAGTTTGTGAACACGATCATTTACCACGTCTACTATTTCCTTGCAATGGTGTAATGGCCTCTGGCGTAACTGTTGGCAGCATCCTCCTTCCCAGTTATCAGCTGCTCT